TGACGATGAAGCCTGCAGATTTCACGGCCCCTTTCGGTTCTCCTCGGGCCTCCGACACAGGCGAAGTCCCTCTGCTTCCCAGCTAGATTTATTTTCAAGGGCTTAGCTCTGAGGGACGATGGGAATGTTTCAGCATGAGTGCTCCTGACCACAAGGAAAAAAAGCCCCCAGTACATTTCACAAAGACATCAGCCAGGATTCTGCAGAGTCCATTCTTTCACGAACAAAATTGCATTTTATGAAGCCGTCCCTTTTCTGTTTCATCTGTCAAGCAGGTTTGCTGAGAATAATTTAAATTTCATGCAGCAGCGACTGTGGGGCATTGGGGCTTCCCTTCAGGCCCACAAACAGGTCTGGCAGTGGAGTCGCAGTTCTGCTTCTTGGGAGCACCCTGCCCCTGCGGTCCAGACCATCTACAGACCAGACACACAGTGGTGGGCCAGGGACGGGATGCCATGCCGGTTTCTCAGCATGACCTCGTGCCGCATCAGACAGGGGATGGGGACAGGCCAATGCATCTTTCTTCAGCCTCCCAGCACCAACCACCAGCAGGGGACAGGTTTCCCCGCAAATGTATGGATAACTGGGTAGACCCAGTCAATGGTTTAACTTTCTAAAATTAACTTTTATCAAGTGCTTACCACATGGTAGGTAGTGTTTTAAGCTTTTCTATGCATATTAATTTAACCAGCTCTCACATCATCCCCATGAGGAGGATACTATGATTATTCCCAATTCTTAGAGACAAAGAAACTGAGGTTCAGAGACATACTCAGCTTCTAAGTGGCGGAGCTAGGATTCAGTCCCAGTACTGTCAGACTCAAAAGCTTGAAGCTCTCAGCAGTGGTGAAATGCTGACTCGACATAACCTTTGGCTTAAATTTTCTCACCTATACCACAGAGGTAAATGTGCCCACTTTCTGGCCTGAAATCTCTTGCTTGCTATCAGCTGGGTGGATGAGCGGATGGAAAAGTTACCATAACAATGCTGCAATCATGGTTACCATGGTGAATGCATTCTGCCAGGCAGCCTGGAGTGGGAAGAGGAGCTGGCCCAGGCTGGTTCTGATTCTAACTCACTGGGTGACCTCGGCAGGCCACATTTTCTTTAGGCCTCACTACTGTGACCTGTAGAATGAGGGGCTGGAGGACGTGGTCACTCTGCTCCTCTTAGGCTCTTGGAACTTGTGACCTGGGGAGGCCATTGATTGGTCTGAGCCATGAGTGTGTGTTGGGGGGCTAGGGTGAGTCCACCAGACCCTCCCTGCACTTCAGCAGCCCAGGAGTCTGCTTGTCCAACTGGCCTTTCTTCAAGACATGCGAGGAATCTTTAGGCCACAGACAAATGAAGAAGTAGAAAAATCAATTCAGGCCTGAAGTAGCAGTGATGGAAAGAATTGTCATCACCTCATCAGCCAGCCGCTGGGAGCACAGCCAGCCTCCCCACCCAGAGAGCCTGGCAGAAGCCGGCCCCTGCCTGGGAAGGTGACCAGGCCCACAGGGCTGGGTGGGGAGGGTGATGGCATGGGATGCCTCAGCCCCCAGGGCACGTGATGTTCACCCTGCGCCCTGCCCAGCCAAGAGGGGACACTAAGGCCTGACAGTACTGACACTAGTCCCCCAGTCACCTTCCTCAGGGACAGTTGCTGCATTTCCGAGTGTGGCTTTGGCCCGCATGTGGCTCTAGACCTTTCACCCAGGAAACCCGGTGGATACATTCCAGCAGCTGTCCCCACACTCTGGCAAGCTGGGACACAGCTCCGCTCCTGGCTTCCACCCGGCCGACCTCGCCCACCCACCCCACCATCCCCTGGAGTGCGGTTTCAGCTCTGTTTCCACAATAGGCTTTCCTTAGAGGAAAGGGCCCCAGAGCTGAAAAAAAGCTTTAAACTCCCTTCCCTCGGTCACCTGGCTCTATCAGTCTCAGTCTGGAGTTCACTAGATGGCCTCTTCCCCGCAGCTCCCTCCTGTCTACAGAGCATCTGGAATCCCAGCCAAGGAGTAGGTTTGAGATGCCCTTTCCTTTCCTTGCTTTCTTGGGGCCTGGCTGCTGTGTCTTTTCTGAAGACCTGCCTTTTCCTCTTGGTGAGGTTAGAAATGAACACCTTTCAGGCTGGGCATGGTGGCTCACGTGTATAATCCCGGCACTTTGGGAGGCCAAGGTGGGTGGATCACTTGAGGACAGGAGTTCAAGAACAGCCTGGACAACATGGTGAAACCCTGTCTCTACTGAAGACAAGAAAAAAAAAGGACATGAACACCTTTCCCTAAGGGGGTAGAGTCTCGTCCCATAGGCCTCATCTGGATGACAGTAACAACGGTGATAGGAAGAGGTCAGCACCGATACGGGTCTCAACTTACCACATGCCAGGTTCTGCTTGTTCTGAGCACTTTACACAGGTTTTAACCCACACAGCCCTCACAGCAACTCTGCTCGCAAGTACAATGACCTCTTCCCATTTTACAGAAGTGAGGCCCACAGAGGTCAGGTAACCTGTCCAGGGTCACTCAGATAGCAAGCGGTAGAATGGAATTCAAATCCAGGCAGTCTGTCTCCAAAGTCTGGCCCTATCCACTGCACTAAGCTTCCCCTGCCAATAACTTCAGGGGGAGAGACATTCTTGGGTCATTTGGTCACACTGTCCAGGCCACAGATTTGTTATACACAAGGAGCCATGAGCTCCCCGAGGACAAGAGCCAGCCAGCCCTGGCCTGCTCAGTAAAGACCCACATTGTTGACCAGGGAAAATGCAAATACCTGGGCCTGGGCCTGCCCATGAATTGACATGGTCTTGGCACGGGGTCAAATACACAGGCTAGAGGACAGGCCTCTGGGCAGGCAGGAGCCAGGCTAGAACGGCAGGAAGGCACTGTGGCCCAAATGTGCCAGGGGTGCCTGGGAAGCCAGTACTGCTGTCCTCCCTCCCCCAACCCAGTGCTCCTGGGCGCCAAGGGACCAGGGCGTAATCCGGGGAATCAAACAAGCCCCTGCAGGAAAGAGGCTGGGCTGGAGACAGAATTCAGTTCCCCTGTTGTGACATGCCAAGGAGCGGGCTGTCCTCACAGGCATGAACTTTCAGCCCCTCTCCCCTTCCTGGCCACCCTGCCCAGTCCCTGCCCCAGCTGTTGTTTTCTGTCTGTGGCTGGGTTCCTTTCCTCTCATGTGGCTGTGGTTTGGGGTCAGGCCAGTCAAGGATGGTGACTATCAAACCACTCTGGAGCAAAGGGGGAGCTCTGTGGACAGCACAGCCCTGGAGGGGAGCCCCAGCACCGAGCCCCTCCACTTCATCCCCCAGAGCAGCCCGACACCATCCCAAAAAACACATGCATCCTTAAAAGGACAGACGTCTTCAAGAGGGCCTCCGTGCCCAGCCTCTCTCTCCCACCTGGAGCCCCGAGCAGTCAGTTCCAGTGGCTGCCTTTCTCCATATGGCCAACAGCTGGCCCTGCAGAGCACCTGCCAGATGTGGCCAGCGGGGCTAGCGGCTGGCCCTACTGGGCAGAGGTCACCGAGTCAGACCAGCGCTTGGGCTGGCGCCCAGGGGAGGAATGTGTTTGGCTGGCCTGGGGGCAGCATGCCCAAATAATCCTCCATCTCCTCTCCCCTGTCCAACATTCTTTCCCTCCCCGCCTCAGTGGGGTAGTGTTTTCATAACAGGAAAATAAAATCAATAAGGCACTGCAGCAAGATGTCAGTGCGCTCCGAGCCAGCCTCCAATAGCTCCATTGTCTCGGCCTCCACCGGGCTCTGCGGCCAGCAGCACTCACAGTTATTAATGGGAAGCAGGGCTGAAAGGGAGTTTTGAAAACCAGGAGACAAAGGCGCAGCACACCTGGAGTGCGGCTTTCCAGTGCCACAGCCACCTCACAATGGCCGGGCTGGGGCTCCCCGCCTTTAACTTCTCTGGCAACTTTTCTGAAAGCAGGAAAAGAAAAGCCTAGACACACCCACATGTGCACACACACATGCACGCACACATACACATCCTTGCACATACACGAGCGTACGTGCACACTGCCCCAAGGGGGCTCCTGGGAGGCGGCTCTGAATGGCCAGCAGAGGCAAAGGCAGCCTGCATAGCCCCTGCTCACTGAGGAAGCAGGATAGGGACCAATGGGCTTCCTGCCACAGCCATGGCTAGGGGCCCGTCCCTCCAGGACTCAGGCTGCCTGAGGGGCTCTGAGCAGCCAGCACGACTGGGGACCAGCTCAGCCCAAGGCCAAGCAAGAGCCGTGGCAACACTGTTTTCCACATTCCGTTCAGCAACACAGGCTGGCCTCTGTTGCCATTCCCAAGGCTGGAGCCGCCTCTTCTAAAAGAAATGGGAATGACCTGGAGCTGACATCCCTGAGGTCAGCTGTGGGGATAAGTCCTGGGTCCTCTGCAGAAAGGTCCCACAGCCTTGGACCAGCAGCCTTGGACCAGCCCTTAGAAGGCCCACTGAGCCCTTGCTGTGCCTCAGTGTCCTCAACTGGAAGGCAGGGATGATAAAAGTACTGACTCATCGTGCTGTGGCAAGGCTCAGAAGAGACAATATATATGAGAACACGTGGCCCAGTGGTTAATAAAGGGTGGGTTTATCACCTTTATGACTTACTACTTGTCAGTATCTTCTTGCAAACCCAAGTTACTGGCACCCCTAGGAACGCTTGCATGGTCTCAATTTATCTATTTAGGAACCCCGTATTGCCATCTTGGAGTTCCACTGTTACTTCACTCATTAAATAACATCTAATCAACATGGCATAGGACAATGAGTGGCCTCAGCACCTGCTTATCTTCCTACAAGTCAGTCACAGAGAAAGACTTCATGGATAATAAAACCCTCGTGAACGCTCGCAAACAGTTGCCAGGCCCAGGTCCTGGGAGGACAAGACTCTGGAGGACTCAGGGTCTGGAGCACAGGCTGCCGCTCTGGAGCCTGTGGGGCTGGCCTGAGCCTGCAGGGAGACAGGGCCCCTCTACCCGGCTCCTGCTCAGAGATGACACCAGGTCTTACCTTGGTGGTGACCACAGAGGCAGAGCTGGCCACGAGGCTGGTGATGGCCTCGCTGCTGCCGGTGGTGCAGGGAGCAGGAGCTGTAGCGGGGGTGGGCAGCCGGGAGGGCACCACGGGCAGCGGCAGGAGGCCAGGCCGGGCACTGAGGCTGCTGGCTGTGCCGCCACCGGCCCCCGAGGTGACGCTGCAGATGCTGGTGGTCCCATGCGTCCCGTTGACGCTCCACTCGCGGCGGTCCCAGCCCACCCGGTAATCTCTTTCGAAGCGGCTATGGTGCCGGGACATCTCGGTGGGCCGAGGCGGCTTCTCACAGGGAAACAGAGCCCGGACCTGCAGTGACAGGGTGGAGAGAAGGGTGATTTAGGACTGGAGCAGGCAGCGACAACGGACAGCATCCATGAAGCCCCTTCTCTGGGTTCAATAACAGGCTTCAAACATTAACTCATTTCAGAGTCACGCAAGCCCACAAAGCATGGATCATTAATTAGCCCCACTTCGCAGACAAGGAATACATGATTTGCCCAGGATCCTGTGGCCAAAGTAAGTAGGCAGGATTTGAACTCAGCCACAGTTAAAAGTGATACTGTTGGTTCTGCCACGTCTCACTGCCCTGAACAACACAAATGTGCATATTTTAATTATGGTTGGGACTTTATCCCCTCCACCCCCACTGTGAAAAAAGAGCCGTGAACTCCTCAGGACATGTTTTCCTCAACCACATGATAGGATACGGTCACCCGCGTGTGCAGACTCACTTTATAGTGGACAAAGCCCTTTACAGAAAGCTCTCTTCCTCCTACAGTGGCTTGTGAGGTGGCAGGGCATGGACGGTTCCCAGTTGAGGGTCGAGGGACCTCACTGAGAATAAGTTATCCCTCGAGGTTCGAGTACTAGAAAGTGATAAAGAGTCCAGGATCCCCAGCCTTCAGATCCTAGCTAAATGCACAACTCAAGTCGCAAAGGGTGTTAGCCTCTAGGAGTGGAGTTCCCTTTCATTGTCACAGCCCTATGATTTGATCTTGGGCAGCATCAGAGACCCCGTGTACCCTGGCCTCTGTTAACCAGACCATCTCCCACACGGCTCTCCTGAACCTCTAAGCATAAGGCCCTTCCATGTTGTCATGGAGACCTGGACATGCCATGATATTTGGAAGGGCTTCTGAATCACCAAAGATTGCATTTTGCTCAGTATTACCATGATTTGCTGGGTTCCCTGCCCACCCTCGATCAGGAAGGCTGTAAAGACACAGGGGAGGTGTTAGTTGCAGAGGCCACGGAGAGGCAGAGGCAGAGGGGAGAGGGTGTGGCAGTGCCAGGGCACGAGTGATGGTGGGTTAGGGTAGGGGTCTGCATCACACCCACAACCCTGGGCATGGCCCAGCTACAGCTTGGTTGCCTTTGGCCTTTTGCATTCTCCAACTGTTTTCCAGTCTGGGGGTGAGCGCCCAGAAGTCCTGGTTCCCAGCTCCCTTTCCTACCCTGCCAGTCCAGCTCAGCCCTGGGGAGGCACCCTGGAATTGTTGGCCAGTGGACAGATGGGCCACTTTATTTTAAAAATATCTATCTATAAAGCCTGTTCCTACTGCGGACTTTGCACATCCAGACCTAGTTGTCAACTTCTGGTGCCATGGAGCCAGGGCCTGTGCCCAACCCAAGAGCCTCCTACCCATGTTCTACTTGCATGCTGGCCTGTGCCCTGGTGGCCATCATCCCCTCTGCCAGGCACACCGGGCAGACCTGAACCCACCCTGCAGCCCGGTTGAAGCCTGCAGCCCTGCCTGAAATAGAGCTGACCATAATTTCTTCAGCTGGGTGTGGTGTCACTATTTATTTCACCATTATGCTTTCTGGCTTATACAATGTCACAAAAATTGTTTTTAAAAAGTCTATCCAGGCTGGGTGTGGTGGTTCACGCCTGCAATCCCAGCACTTTGGGAGGCCAAGGCGGGTGGATCACCAGGGCAAGAGATCGGGACCATTCTGGCCAACATGGTGAAACTCCGTCTCTACTAAAAATACAAAAATTAGTCGGGTGTGGTGGCGTGCACCTGTAGTACCAGCTACTCAGGGGCTGAGGCAGGAGAATCGCTTGAACCTGGGAGGCAGATGTCACAGTGATCCGAGATTGCGCCACTGCACTCCAGCCTGTCGACAGAGCAAGACACCGTCTCAAAATTAAAAAAAAGAAAAGAAAAAAAGTCTATCCAATATTACCTGGTTAAAAAATGAAAATCAATTCCCTTTTGATCTCCCCACATAAAGTTTTTCAGCTGAGCTTCTTCATGGCATTGTCTAAACTTAGCTCCAGTTTCCTCGTCCTGTTCACTCTGTGACCTGCTCCGCTGTGGCCTTCGCCCTGGCCACTCCATGGGAACTGTTCTCATTGAAGTCAAGGGTGACCTGCTTGCTAAGTCCAAGGGGACATTTATGCCGCTGTCCTCGACTTCCCTCACATGCGACGTGGCTGATCTTCCTTGTTTTCCAGAGCCCTCCTCTGCAGTTTTGGTGATACCAGCCCTCTCCTAGTCCTCCGCCTCCCTCTCGGCTGCTCCTTCTCAGTCTCCCTGGCGGGCTCTTCTTCCTCAGCTCATTATTTAAAAGCTGGGGCTCCTCGGGGTTCCAGATCTCCTCCTCCGCTTCTCCCTGGATGATCTCATCCCTCCATCCCCTTTCCGGATAACTCCCAAGGCTACCTTTGCAGCTCTCCTCTCTCTTAAGCACCACCCCCACCTCCCTGCAGCCTGCCGCACACCTTCCCCCAGCTGTTCCACAGGTGCCTAAACACCCAGAGTTGCTAAATTAGCGCAACATTCCTTTGTCCAAACACCCATCCTCAGGCATTCCCTCCCTCAGAGAAAGTCGCCTCTACCTCCTCACCTCCATCCCCCTATAGGTCTTAGATTCCTCTGCCTCAGCTGCTCTCAAATCTACCCCCTTCTCCATCTGCAGCCACGACCTTCCGTCACTGTCGCCCAGTGCCCCCTTATTTCAGCTTGCCTGCCTGCCCCCAGTCTTGCCCTTCTCAGCCATTCTCTACTCAAATGCCCACAGGAGTTTTGCAAAGGGCAACTCTGATCATGATACTTGACTTTCCTGCTTTAAATCCTGTCCATCAATATAAGGTTCCAGCTCTTCCTGGTAGCCCAGAAGAGGATCTGGTCGGGCTCCCTTTTCTAGCATCCCCTCTCATTCATCCCGTCCTGCCCCAGAGGCTAGGGCCCATCATTCCAAATGCCTTATGGTTTCTGAAGCCTCATGTCCCCTTTCAGCTCAGGGTCCAAGTCCACGCTGCTCTTTTGCCAGGAATGGCTTCTGACCGTCCCCCCGCTACTGCCTATGACCCCACCCAGCTCAGGCACGGATTCTTCTAGAAGCCTGTACTTACTTTTCCCCTTCTGGGTCAGGTGAGAGACTCTCCTCAGTCCCTGAGCCAACGGTGCCCACCCTCCCTACAGCCACGGCTGCTGTCTATCCGCTACCTTCAGAACAGGGCCTGGGTCCTCATTCTCTGTGCGACCCCAGCAACCTGAACAGTGCCCGTCAAAGAAGGGTGTTCAGTACCTGTGTGCTGAATGAATGATTAAACAAATGCTTGTTTTTTCTTCATTGCTGAGCACTTCCAGAGAGGACAAACACATCTGTGTGAAGAGAAAACCTCAGACAAAGAAAGAAACGTTGAGTCTCCTGACTGGAAGTTCCAAGTAGGTGCTGGAGTAAGAAAACATCCTATCTTAGCCTGGGCGTGGGGGCTCATGCCTGTAATCCCAGCACTTTGGGAGGCCAAGGCAGGAGGATCACTTGAGGCTAGGAGTTCAAGACCAGCTTGGCCGACATAGTAAAACCCCATCTCTACCAAAAAAAAAAAAAAAAAATACGAAAATTAACTGGGCATGGTGGCGTGCGTCTGTAGTCCCAGCTACTCAGGAAGCTGAGGCATGAGAATCGCTTGAACCCAGGAGGTGGAGGTTGCAGTAAGCCAAGATCGTGCCACTGTACGTCAGCCTGGGTGACAGAGTGAGACAAAAATTAAAAAAGAGAGAGAGAGAGAGAGAAAATGTCCTACAGTCCTAATAAATCAGACCTTGAGCCTCCAAGGACAGGCCTGAACAGAGAATATCTGCATGTCGAGGTGAGCTGGGCTCACAGTGTAGACGCCTCTCCCAAGGCTGACCTGCCAACAAGGGGCTCGTGCTGATTATCACGGCCTCAGGGACACTGCCTCCCTAGGGTTGGATCCTAATGTGGCAGAGAGGATGTTATGTATTCACCACAGTATGTCCTCTTTCTGGGCACAAGGAGGAACTCTCCCAGCTGCCATTGCAGTTAAGCTGGGCTCCTGTGTCTGGAGTCTGGTGGATAGGATAGGTGGGGAGGGGATGGAGACTGCTTCCAGACCTGGTCCTTTACAAACATCTATGACCCTCAGTTCCCTGTGCTCGTCATGGCAACCTTGGAGGCCACATGTTCCAGATGGTGCCACCATCTGATGGAAGAGCGTTTCTCTGCGCACACTGGATGTTGCATAATGGGGGCATGAATCTTTGTTGTGATAACACGCTGAGATTGGCAGTCTATGTGTTACCTAAGCACAGCCTAGTCTGGCCTGACTGATGTGATAAATCAGCCTCTACCTTCCTACAAAACAACACAACCTCACATATCGCCAAAGAAGCCATCTCCTTCCAGCTGGGGAGGATGGAGGTGAGGAGGGTATGCACTGAGGATGGCCAGCAACACCACTCCCCTGAGACATGCCTGGATGTGCTTGGGATCAGGTCAAAGGGGTCTCCTAGGTCCCAGTAAAACCTCTCCACTCTCTGCCTTGGGGACCACCTGCTGGGCCATGCCGTGCCCGCACCTTACAGTTCTGGTGCATGAAAGCAAAGCCCAGGCCCCAGCGCCCTTCACCTCCCAACACTCCCACCCCCCACCCTGATGCTTAGCTCCTCAAGTCTCCTTTAAATGCCAGGCAGGAGATGGAGACTTGGAACCTGGAGCCCAGAATCTAGTTTCAGCCTCATTAGGTGTACTCAAAACAAAGGTCAAGAATTTGCATGCCAGCATTTCGGTGAGACTTCATTCCTCAATTTAATGTCCCCTCTCAAACGTCATGAAAGAAAGGCGTTGCACGGTTTACCCTGAGTGAGATGGCAGACTGCCAGCACCAGAGGTGGCAACTTAAGTATTTTCTGCTGGGCACCGAGCCACTGTGCCACAAGGTCCCATGGGCATACATGTGTGCCCAGAGTGGTGTCGAGGGAGGCATCGGAAGTGCTAGTTGTGGCAGAAGGAGGCCTGGAATGGATGAGGTACCTTAGATGAGACTGGTC